TTTCTATTTTTTTTTCGTATACAATCCTGCTACCCTGTATAATAACTACTGTAGTTCAGAATAGCAAATGTGTGTTATATTCACTTACAACAGTACTTGATGGCACTATCACAAGCAATATTCTGAGGTTAATTAAAAACAACATAAAATGAAAAAAAAAAGTCCAATGATATTTGGTCTATATTTGGCATTAAAATCCACATTTAGAATTGATCAAACCTAAATATATCACCTTCTGAATTAGTGCTACTTTTAATGCACCAACAAATCCATGTGAATGGATCTACTTCACACTTTTTAGAGGTCTTTAGTATCCATGAATTACTGAATGTATGCTTTTACATTATAACTTACATTAAAATTCACATGATTTGTATTACATACTATATTTACTTGAATGTAATGTAAGATGCCCCTTTTTTCAGGTTTCAATAGTCATATATAGTCAAATCTCAATACAACACCTCAATTTAGTGCCAGTTTCAGAAACTAACAAGTAGTGGTGCTATATTGAGATTTGACTATATCAGTCAACTGCAGAGACAGTTTATGTTAAATGACATTTAACAGCCAAACAGCATCTAGATGTTGGCTGGCTGAACCATAGTTTAAAATGTGCTGCAAAGATGATGATTATCTATTTCTGAACGCAGTCTAAACGAATCTCGGAAAAATGTTGGCTCTTACTTTCTTCGCCATTACTCCCAATTTAGGCATTGTTTGGCCAATCGGGTTATTCACTTGTGACGTCAGAAAAAACTCCAATAAGGTTGCCAGCTATATTCCGAAAGCTTCCAGAACATAAAATCTTAAGGCCATCAACAACCTTTGTTCAGAAGTTAATTTACAATCCTTTTCCATTTCAATATTTAATTTTGTCACCAATATGGTTTAAAATATGAACAAATCCTCATTTAGAAAATTTATATCAAATTCGAAATTTGTCTTCAGAAGAGATTTTTAAGGAATTATTCCAACATTATATTACTCTCTCCTATCATAATTGTCAAGATGAATAATTTTAAATATTTTATTATTATTGTAAAACAAATATTCACAAATTACATTGGAATAAAGAATACCTCGTCCCGTAACCCACGGGAAAGAAGGTACCTATTTCTCCCCTTTACTGTATTAATTGCTCTTTACTTTCAATTAGTTCTCTTCTTCTCCCTTTTCCACTTCTCAACAAGTTTCCAAAAGAGCTTTGTGTACTAATCTCAAAAAATTGTATTAGGTAAATCCTGATTAACTAATGAATGATGTATATCTGATGATTGCTGCTGATTTGAAGATTGCTGTATGCCTTGAGATTGATGTATATCCTGCTTTTGCTGATCTGCTGTATTGGCCTCAAAGATAGCATCTCCAAGCACTCTATTGAGTATAAGTGATGTGTGTATAGCTGCCTGTTTCTGAAGGATACTAATATCAATGTTGGATTCTAATTGATCTATGTATTTCTTTATGTTTTTTGCTACTATTCCTGTTGCTCCTATTACTATTGGAACAACAGTCGTCTGTGTATTCCACAGGCGGTTAACTTCCAATTTCAGAAAATGATATTTACTCAATTTTTCAATTTCTTTAGCACCAATGTTATAATCTGATGGTACAGTTATATCTATTAAAAATGTTTTATTACGATTTTTATCAACATAAATTAAATCTGGTCTGTTGTGAGATACAGTGACATCAGTTTGGACAGGCATTTCCCATAGTATTTTGGCTGAACTATTTTCCTTAACTTGTGGTTGGAGTAGAATTTCCTTCCACCATTGGTCAGCAACTTCTATTTTATGTTTTCGGGCCAGGCACCAGTAGACGTACTGGACAAGGTTATTATGACGTCTTACATAACTAGTCCCCGCCAGTTTTTCACATCCTGATATA